GCCCTGTAGTGCATATGGGTGTACTGTATGTGTGATTGAGTGCATGACACTGAGACCATGGGCTGATGTGTGGCCTTTTTTTTTATTAGGCATGGACGCCAGTCAAAACACAAACATAAGCTCCAAAACGGGATGTGAGACAAAAAGGCAGGTGACAGGGTGAGCAAATTTGATTGGTCAGAAAAGCTTACAACTAAAAGTTGAACATTAAGCTGGAAACCTTCGCTCCCTCTCTCTCTCTCTCTCTCTCTCTCTCTCTCTCACACACACACACACACACACACACACACACACAAAGTATGCCTGAGTAATTCTGAGATATATAAAGTCTTCTGCATGTGTATTGCTGTATTCAACTGCATGTGCCAAATTAAGTGCTTGCGCTTATTGTTGGACTCAACTGTCTGTCACCCACCGGCAGACTGGAAGGGCGGTCCTGGGAGATGCCATCCTCATTTGCCTTCCCAGAATTCCGTGGGGCAGGACCTCTGGTGCTGTAATTCTCCTGCTGAGCTTCCTAAGAAAAAAAGACAATGATCAATCAATTTAAAGGATATATGTTACATCTTGAGGTAGTTGTGCTCTATAAGAAATTCATGGTTCACCTGTAAAATATCATGCAGGACATCTTGGATTTGTACTAAAAATAGGATCTATTTATGTACCTAACAATACAAAAAAAGCTGTAAATCAACATATTATTTTATGCCTTATACTGATAGCGACACTGTTTCATTTGCAAGATACATTATACAGTAGATTAGACATATTTATCAACACACTCCATCACAACTGTCTTAAAGTGTGTGAGAGAAACATGACAGCATGACTTGGACTGCTGAGGTTTGCAGGCTGTAATAAAGACTCTGATTCCCAGTTAGATCAAGTCACAACACAAAGAGGCACATTGCACAAGAAAATACAGACTGCCTCACGCACTGATATAGTACATGCAAACTGAAAAACACCCAAACACGCATCCATCAGCACACAATAGCTTCCAATTCATTTCAACTAAATCCCAGCCTAACCACCCACTAATCTTCAAAATGCTCACACACACACGCACACACACACACACACACACACACACACACACACACACACACACACACACACACACTGTCCTATTGTTCAATCTAAGTCATTTTCTTTCCCTCTGTAATCACAAGCCTATCTAGTGTAAACCAATTTTCTCCCCATTGTTGGAGGTGTTGCCCTCTCTCTCTCCCTCCCTCTGTATCTTTCCCTCCTTCCCTCTCCCTCTTCTTTTCATTCGCCACGGAGGTCGTTCCACCATCATGTTAAGCGTCAGCTGCACAATGGCAACTTGTTAAAGAGCTCTGAGTGGAAGGATTAGTGATAACTGATCAGTGAGACATGGCGAGCAATCACATGTGGCGACACAACAATACATAGACACAGCTATATACATATACATACAGGATGCCTTGAAGATTTTACTTTGAAAATCCATTTTTACCACAGTTTGATTTCTTATCTGTTGTGTGACTGTACTGTAGTAGGTGGGCCATATTCCTGTCATCTAGGTGATATAATTTTATAGCGGAAGATTATCCTTCACAACAAGAGATGTATCATGTGAAATGAATCTGTTATTAGAACATTAAGTGTGCCATAACTTGTGCATCCAGGTTGACTGATACCCATTCAGTACTTCAGTAGATTCTTCAGGAAATCTGATATTTGTTTTCATATATATATATATATACTGTCTATATACACATACACTAGATGCAAAACTCTACTGCACACACAGTTTGCATGCTGTTTTAACAGCTATGCACGCACAAAGACAAAAACTTAATGTATTCATTCATTCATTATTAAGTAAAGGTAATGTAATGACCTTAAATGCCCTAGAGTAGTCCCTTCAAATCCACATTTCAATTATTAGCTAATTAAATCACTGAAGCACTAATTCTAAAAATGATAAAACTTTAAATACCTTAATGTTTCCTGAAATGCTAGTGTATAAATCTGTGTAGGTGGCTGGAGGACAAAAGTACTCAAAAGTACCATTTTTAGCATCATGCTGTACTTTAAGTTCAAATTCCTAAATCCGCAGTGCCTAATTCTATGTGATACTCAGTGGTTTAAGTTCCTATGAGGATAATTACATTTTGTCACTGAATCCTATCTTCAAAGAATCAATTAATTAATATAAGAAATTATCAGAATTTTTGTCAGCGAACAGATAGGGAGTGAACGCATCTCAGCAACATTTAAAACGAGGGGAGTGTCACATATTACTGGTTGACGCATGAAATAATACATTATGCAGAGAGAGAGAGAGAGAGAAAAATAAATGCTGTGAAGTGTTTTGAAATTTGTGATGATATTAACCAATGAAAAGTCTGCTTTGTGTGACTGAACTCACTTGTCTTATATTTTATGAGTGTAATTTGTTCAGGTCCCTCATGTAGAAGAGATAATAATAATAATCACCTTTCTTTGGCCAAGTATGTTACACACACAAGGAATTTGTTTCCGGTACAGAACCGAGGCAGCCATCTGCTGCGTTAACTCAACCGATGGCTCTAAGCATCGGGGGCAACTTTGGGGTTCAGTGTCTTGCCCAAGGTCACTTCGACATGTGGACTGCAGGCACTGTGATTCGAACCTTCAACCCTCCAGTTGGGAGACGACTGCTCTACCCACTGAACCACTGTTGCTTAAGATGTTGGTCTTAGACTGAAAACTTAACTCATTTTTCATTTTTGATTTAAAAAAAAAACAATCAAAATGCAAATAACATAATAAATGGAACATCAAGCCACAATCTTGCCACAATAGCTTCCTCATTCCAATTATAACCTAAGACCCAAAAAACCAGGGACATCACCACTTCTAAAAACCAGAGGGAAAACCCTGTTCACCCAGATGTGGTTCATTTGCTGATCACATATCATCCCATAAGTGGGTGGACCACAGCAAAGAACAGAGGTGCTATTTTTTCAAACAAAGCCACACTAGTTTCCTTATCGGGGGCCTGGGTAAGCCCTGTGCTTGTGTGCACAACCCCTCTTGTGTTTATCAATGGGAGCCTGGGTGCATGCCAACCATCAGACTTTTATTGCAAGGTTGGAATAACTTCCTTTAAAGCAGAGGCCAACTCAGCTTAGTCACAAATACACCTCCACAGGAAAACAAAGCCCCAAATGTATGTATCTCTGTGTGTGTGTGTGTGTGTGTGTGTGTGTGCACTCGAGGGGATTTCCACTTTAAGTGGGTCAAAGTGAGGTTAGCCGCCTCATAGTACTGTTTACACTCAAGTTCGTTCGTCATCACTGTCGAGTGTAATATGTCCAGAGAGGGTGCAATAGATAGAAACTGAGTGGGAGGGGGAGGGCACA